AAAATCGAATATCAATTTAAAATTTAAATGCAGCACTTGAATACTTATTTTTGTCTTTCTCTCATTTTTATTCTGTTTGATTTCAAAAAGATTACCTATATGTGATCGTTTTGAATCGCTGTCGGAGATTGTTATTGCACCACTATCACTTGATTCATTTAATAATGTTGCACTGATCAGCTTGGAATTCGGATTTAATATGGATCCAGTTATAAAATAAATTTGATTTTAATAGCTTATTTTAAGTATTTAAACAAAATCAATAGTATAATAAATAAAACAAAATTTTCATTATTGATGGTACCATTTGGTACCATTTTAAAAGATACCAAATTTTTATAATGATACCATATATTATTGTATTTTTTTTATTCTGATAGAAATGAAAATATTCAATTAAAAATGTGATAATAATAAAAGACAAATTTATTCATACTGTTTTTGCTCCATTGAGTTGATAATAAAATCATCAGCAGTGGTTGAATTGATACTTTGCTTGATAACTTTTGACAGACGAACTGGTGAACAATCCGATTCCGAATCATCGTCATCATTACGATCATTCGATACTGAAATAGTCCATTTTTAAATATCGCCAGAAATATTTATGGATGAGATAAACATTTGAAATGAAATTTCAGAAATTTGATTTTTGACAAAAAAAAGAAAAGAAAACACCCATCAGAATAAAACATTTAATAAAAGTAGCTAAAAATTAATAATTTCTAAATTCTGAAAGCAGAAAATAGTAACTGTATCTTGTTTCAAACTCTTGAACAAATTAAATTCAAATTTTATGCATTTTCTCGAGTTATTATTTGCAATATTTTTTTTTTTTTTTTAATATCACAAATCATTTCAAAAGCCTATTAAAACGCATTATTATATTACCACTGGTCTGCATCTATCCTTTCAATTAAAAGAAAAACAAATTTTGAAATTAATTGCTACAAAGAAACATTCGTCGACAAATTTTTTCTTTTGTTGTTCTAGAAAGAACGAACTTTCCACAACTCAAATATAGCTAATAAAATTAATCAAATTTCACTGCTCAATTTTAATTTCCATTCATCCAACATTGAAACTATTCATTTTTAATTAAGTATCCATGCAGATATTTCTGATGAAGGAAACATTTGACACAAAATTTCAAAATTTTGATTTTTAAGAACGAAAAAAAAACATGCATTAGTATAAAACATACAATGGAAAAATTATAAGTTAGTAATTTTCAAATTTTTTGAATGCAGAAAATGATAAACAGCACTTTGTTTCAGACTTGTAAATAAATGTTACATTTCATTCATAACATTTATATATTTCTCTTTCTTTTCTTTTGTCCTCTTTTATGAGTAACAAAACGAAAAATAAAAGTTCAAATCAAAGAGCAATCTAATTTTATTACTTTGGACTAAAAGTACTGTATAAAAGAAGGAAAAAAATAGCAATAAATAAATTAAAAAAAAAAAAAAAAGAATATAGCGGCGCTTTGTGAAATCAATAAAATTTATTTTAATGGGATAATTTGAAATAAAAATAAATGGATTAGATGGACCGTCCATTTTACAGTTTTTACTTGCTTTAAAATTGTCACTCAATACCAACATTTTGAGGTGAATGAATAAATAAATAAATAAAATTGACAGGAAAATTCTTGATTTGTCTTTGATTTTGTTGAAGAGGAAAAGGAGAATAGAAATATGCAAAAATGAAGTGAAATGAGAGTAGATTTACTGGACATATATTCTGCATGTATACTGAATGATCAGCTAATACACAGATGGATTTGAATCACATAAGGATGCATGCATGCATGCAAGGATGTCAATAAAACCTTACAAAGATTTAGAAACAAGTAATAGTGTAATTTTTATGAAAATTGGTACAGTTGTAAAATCTATTCTCAGAATTATATCATTAAATAATTGATATTTCAGGATCATAAATGCAAGTGTAACACTTAATACAATAGCATAGAGTATATTAAATCAGTTGTTCAATCAAAAAAATTCAAAAAAAACTTTGTAAAATTATTTTATCTTAATTTCCAACCATTTTCTTTTTTACAGCATAATGAATTTTAATTTTGAAAAAGTGCTAATGAAATAAAAGCATCATTAGAGCATTTTGTTTACGGTAAAAATTAAATTTTGCTTAAAATTCGGACACAAAAATGATTAAAATTATTTTAGTATAGTTAAAATAGTGACAATATGAATTAAATTGAGCAAATAAGACTAGAAATTAGCATAAAAATATATCATAAAGAAAGACCTGCATGAACTGAATGAAGAATACATTACCAAATAGCATTACATACAATAAAATCAATGCAAAAAATTGAAATTTCTCAAAAAGAAAAGCAGAAAATAAAATACAGCGCAAACACTAATTGAAATTTGAACTTTGAACTCAATAAGTGTTATATATTTTCTCGTTTTTTTTTTTTAGTTAAATAAGATGGATTGTAGTAGAATATTACTATTAAATTCATTTAATACATAACTTTGGTAAAAGAAAAAAATCAATAAGTATTTATAGTTTCACAATTTTAATTTTGACTTTATTTCACTAAAATCTATTGAATTCAACTTTATAATGATGATCGAATATGCAATCGATTTAATTGAATATTTGGAAAAAAGTCAAACGAACCTTCGTCCCAATTATATCACAAAAAATTAACATTTCATATTACGTCTTTCCTCCTCAAATAATGATTGCAGCAAAATTAGCAATTAATTCAAAATAAACTTTCAAATGAAATCATGAAATAAAAAGTAATCAAAATTTTTTGCACAAAAACTGCTTCATTAATCTTTTTTACTTCAACTTTAAAGATTTAAGAAAATTTTATTTTTTCACTTTTTACGAATTTCATTCTTTTGATATTATCTATTCCTTTTTATTTCAAATTGACAGCGCAAAATTTTAATGATTGAAGGAAAAAGTGAGCAAATTTATATGAAACACACCTATTCCAGGGAATTTCTTTTTGCTTTTTTTTTTTCTTTTTTTTTTGTTAGCTTTAAGAATATCATTAATATGGCCTCGAAGAGGAGATTAAAATTGTTTGTTTTTCTTTTTTGATCTCTTTCAATTATATTTTTACTCAAATCATTTTAAAATTTTTAAGTATTATAAATACAATAGAATGTTCTAACAATGGATGATATGAACAATTACATTGATAAGTTATGCAAATTTTTTAATCAGTTTAATAAGTAATAACATATATATTATTTATACATAGCAATGTAATTGGCAAAGTCTAATTATTAAAGGATACCATCGTCATCTACCGGTGAATATTTTGAATTCGTATCATTTCTTTCCTTTATTCCTCTATTACTCTTTTCTTTTCTTTCTTTTTTTTTTCTTTCAAATTATTTTCCATTCTTCTATACAACAATAAATAGCAGAAGCAATAGCATTTTTGAGCAGTTTTAATAAAAAAAAAATCGAATTAAAAATTAACTTAAAAGAATAAGATTAATTAAAAAAAAAATGAAACAAAATGATTATATACATACAGTTTACTTACAAATCGTCACATTCGTTCTAAATTTATTTTATTTCAAAAAAATAAATTAAAAAAATGTTAAATACGAAAACTTGTTAATTCCATGATCGGATTCATCCATCTGTACCATAATTCTTTCTTGTATTGAAGAAATTTACAAATTATTTAAGACGAAAGTTAATAGTTAACTTATGGATAGCATCAAACTTTTCATTTCAAATTTCAAAAAAATTTTAAACATAAAATATGTGCGTTAAATCGTACTTTGAAAACAAAAGCATACAGTAGCAGTGGTAGTAGTAGTAGTAGTAGTAACACAAAAGCAGTAGCACCAGCACGGAAAGTTAAACGAATTGTCTCCAACTATCATCAGTGATGTCAATCAAAATATAACAACAACAGCAACAACGATGACAACAACAACAACGATGACAACAACAACAACAACAACGATGACAACAACAACAACAATACCAATACCAATAATGATGAATAGCAAAGATATGTGTCTGTTCAAAATGGTGGAAAAGAAGCCAAGCGACAAGCTTTCAATCATTTCCATTGTCCAGAGAAAATGTCAATGAGAATCGATGACAATATTAGCAGCAGAGAAACAATAACAACAACAACAACGAAAGCAAAGACAACAACAATAGAGGTAGCAATAATAAAAGAAGCAAACAATAAACTACAAGCAATAATAATATTGATATTACTTTACAAATTAACTTACCAAATCTGTTTAATTTCCAGTGTTTTGCGTATTTATTGGACAATTATTTCAAATTTTATTTAATTTTAAGAGATTTCTCTTAGCAAAAACAATTTTTATCCTTTCTTTTTTTTTACAAAACAACGATAATAACAATAAAAATTCAGCAAAATATTTTTTTTTCTTGTACATATTAATGAAAAAATTCATTAAGTATTATCATCCAATCTTATAAGAAGCAACAATGAGCATTTATACGTTTTATGATTATAATTTTGGAATTTAAGTAAAAATTTGTCAATTTAAAAAGTTGTTCATATTCGTTTAATTCGTTTGGTTTCATTTAGAATTTTCTTCTTTTATTCAAAGTTTGAATTTTGAAATTCTTCATCAAATTAATTTTCAACTTTGTAAAATGATTTCCTTGGCAAGTTTATATGAAGTGAAATTTGCTCAATGTTGATTCTCTACCAATAAAAATGATTAATTATATGCATAGGAAAAGCTCGTTAATGAAAATAAAAGGAGAAGAAAAATGCCAGAAAAAAGCAGCGTAACTTTTAATTATATAATAAAAATTCATTTTGCTAAATATTTCATTTTATGAATTTTCCAAAGTAACAATAATTCACTCATTGATCAAATCATATTAGCAGCTAACTTCTTGTAGCTTAATACTTTTTTCTCGATTCAAGCAAAATTATGCTGCGCCACCAGTTCAATGCACAAACATTGGCTTATAAACAGAATTAATAAATAAGCAATCTAAAAATCAGTCCACAAGACACCGGTAGGCGTTCTAAGTGTTGATGATGTTGCTGATGAAATTTTATTATCCACAGTTTCATCTTTAGAAGCACAAGATGCTCGAGAAGAGGTTGATTCATCTGCGTAGGGTAATGTTTCTACACTTTCTTGCATGCATGCTTCGGTAATTGGTTCTGATGGCACTGACTGCTTCAAAACAATCGGTAATGATGGCGGAGGAGGAGGTGGCGGTGGTGGTGGTGGGAAATCATCAGTATTAGCTGAATCTGTGAATTCATTTCCGATGATAGTTGTTATCTCGTTACTTCCTGATTGTTCTTTTTTTTCCTTTTGAGTTTCTGAAGATCGTTCCATTTCTCTTTTAAAATCAGAATTAACATTTAGATTTGTATAGATTCGTTCATTTTCTTTCAAATCTTTCGTCATTCTTTCAACATTCTCCATCACACATTTTACCTCATCATCGTTATCATTTAAATTTGGCTGTGATATTGCACCAATTTGTTGTCTTTCAGTTTTCTCATTTGATGGAATATTAAAACGAACAGGTTGAGTTTGTCGACGTGGATCACCGCGACGACCACGTTTTGCAATTGCGGACTTCTCAACATTTCGTCTTCGTAGCAAATATTCCAACACATCTCCAGATTCGGGTGTAGAAGGTGATAAAGAATGATCTTGCGAAGAGAAATTACCTGGTGAAGGCAGTCGTTTTTTGGGTACCAAATCTAATGATTTTCTTCTCCTCAAGCTATCTGGACTACGTGAACCTGACAGTGACCTATGTTGACTACTGCTCTCAACAGTATTAGCTAAAACCTCTGAAACCGTACTTTTGGTACTAATATCTTTGAAAGTTGAAAATGAACCTTCAGCTTCAGTGGATATATTACGCATTGTAAGTACGTACGGAATATCGCTGTTAAAGAGATGACATTTCTGAATTTCTGGATAATCCTCACTTTGCACCGAAATCAACGTTGGACGATTCAGTTCACGTATGCCTGATGATGTCGTACAAGATGGAAAAGTTTCTTTTTGAAGATTTACTACCGGATGATTTGGTTTTATTTCCGGTACACGTGAAACTGAAGTCGATTCAATTAAACCAGCTTCTGAAGTGCAGACAAAATTTTTTGGCTTCGGAGGTACCACCGGTTTCGGTTTTCGTTCTCGATAACCTTCTGGAGTGATTACTAGATTATCCTTAGTTATAACTTTACCCGATAAAGGTCCAATTGCACCGTAAGTTTTGGGAGCTTGTTGTGGTTGAGCTATTGTCATATAGCTTTGACCGCTATCCGATGCATGGATGAAGCTAACATTACTATAAATGTTCTCACTGGTACTTAAATCATCCTCATCTGGAATTATTTTTGGCTTTTGCAAAATGGTACCTTTCGATGTATATACAATTTTCGAATGCTTTGGTTGCAATTCTTTGGTACGTGAAACAGATGGTTGAGGTTCATTGGTTATGTGCCAACAATCTGATTCAATTTTCGTGATAGGTGCACGAACTGGAATTTGTGGTGGAGTGCTACCATGCACCTTTGAAACTCTATTAATTTCTTTCCTACCACTTAGCTTTCTATGTTCATCCAAATTAACATTTGGCCCATCAATCTCGATAGGTATTAATTTTTGATGCAACGGATATTCCGCATATGAGGCTGGTGCGGATGATGAATGCTTTCTTTCAGCATAGAATCGTCGCTGTGAATCTGCATCATCAATCTCAACCTGATTACTTTTAGATGATTCCTGACGATAAACCTGTCCTGAAATATTTTGTTGATTACGTCCTGCTTCTATTTTTCTTCCACCACTACCTAATCGTCTTTCGCTATGCGGATCTTCATCATCGGTGGTATTCGGTGTTGAACGAGTATTTGAAACAACCTTCTTGACAATGACATTACCAACACGTTTTGCTGTAAAAGTGGTAGCATAAACAGGATTCACTGGAACAGCTTGAATATCGGAATGTGCTGATCGTAACTCATTATCGGATAATTTATAAGAGCCTTCACTGATATTATCATAATCACGAGGTGGTTGATGTAGTTCCAGAAAATTATCACCAGATGCTGATTTAGGTGGACATTCACATTTAAGTTCAAATTCACGACAAACAATTTGTACATCATCACCGAGCACATTTGGCAATGATACCGATGTGATAGCATCATTATCTGATGCATTAGCAATATTATTAGTCTTACTCGTCACTGCTACTGCTCCTGCTTTTACAGATTTAACAGTGGATTGTTTCAAAGGTTTAAATTCAGAATGTTGTTGCTGTCTGTAGCGTGAATTTGTGATACTACCACCAGCTAATGAGCATAAATCATTACTTTCCATATCACTCAAACACATTCGTTCACTGTTTACAGCCGCAGCACTACTATTACTTGGATAGTTTTGCGAATTTCGATGGCGATGATTACGAGTACCAATAGTGGTACTATAGTTTTTCAGAGTTATCTCACCGGGAAAGTAACTCATCGTACCTGTTGTCATTAGTTGCTGACCTGTACCACGGCTATGACTCTGGTTACTTACACATGAACCACGATTCATTGATCGTTCTCCATTCATGCAATATACTGGTGCATTTCTGGAAGGCAATGTTCCAGAACCAATCAAATTCACCGAACGTTCGCTAACTGTTGCATAAGCAGGATGAGTCATATCAAAGAAAGCTGGTCGTGAAAATCGACCATTTGATGAGGATGAAAGACCTGATTTAATTGGCCTAAAAGAAAAAAAAAAAAATGAGACCTCTCTTTAATCCTTCTTATTTGTTATTAATGAAAATTTTAAAAAAAAAAACACAGCAAACATTTTCTTCTCTTTTACATTTGACAAACCTTGTGAATGGTTCACGTCGTTTCCTATGTTCTCGAGTATAATCAATTAATTGCTTTTGAGTCCTACCTTGATACCTGTAAAAAAGAGTCTTATCTTATTGGCTGATTTGTGAATTTCAAAGTGCCCAATATTTGTAAAAATATTGAATGGAAAGAATAACTCAAATTTTTAATAACAACCATATATCATCTCTACGTAAAACGAACAAGCATAATCACGTATCTTTCACTTCATACGTTAATTTCACATATCCAATAACTTTAATAAAATAATGTGATTAGAGAAATTCAAAATGCATACCTAAAAGCGGAACCTTTACTGAAGAAACGACCTTCACGTGTTTTTTTCACTGGCAATACTTCGATACAACGGAAAAATGTATGATGCTCCACGCATTTCTTCCAGAAATTTTTGCACTCATTTCTAGTTTCAAATAAAAATTCAATCGTTTCTTTATAGTACTGCTGCAAAAATAAAATGAAGTCAAGTAAAATCTCGTAAAATAACTTTCTTGGATTGTATGAATTTCTATTCGAGTATAATCAGTGAAGTCATCATATTATCTTTATTAAATCTTTGCCTCTAACTCGTAACTACGATTATTTCCTACTTTCTAATGTTCTGTGTTCTGGAATATGCTGATGTTACGGAGTGTTAAAATATGAAATGAAATTTTAATAACTTACAGTAATCAAATGGATACATTATTGATCTAACTTAAAACTGCTTCTCACATTACGAAAGAATTAAATTAAAGCTCAGAACTTGACTATAGAATGTATTTCAGTTTTGAAGAGGTAATCAAGATTTTTTCCAACAATATTATCTTACATAATTTTCCGGATGCAACTTTATTAGCAGTTTACGACGTTTAAATGATAATTTCCGGATTTTAGCCCAAGAGAATGTCGAAACACATTGAAACTGATGAAACACCCGAATACCCATATGAGCAATTGTTAGGTTCACTTCAGTACCTTCCACATCCTGAAAACTTGATTGTCCCACGGTAACTGAATACACGAAATGCAAAATTATCAGTTATACACTGTTTTCGAATTAATTTTTCATATTTTATCACAAGTGTGATTGTGTACATGATAAAATATTATGAAAATTTGTTTACCAACAAATCTTATCATTTTCTTCATATTAAATTTCAATTAAAATTTTTATGAACAAAAAAAAAAAGTTCAAACATACCTTAGCAGCATGCAACTTCACGCCATAGTAGTCACAACGTCGTGCTGTTTCAAGAAGAGTCAAGTCACTTTCACCGGGACTCATGCCACTAAAATTTTCATAGCTTCAAAAAATCCATAATTATATGAATAATTTATGCTAAAAAAACAGTAACAATTTAAATCATACTTAAAAAATTAAAAAAATCGTTTAAATTTTCAGTCTTTTTTCTCTCCTAGAATTTTTATTTAACAAATTTTTATTTTAAAACATTTGAACATACATACATCAATTTCATATGATTCTCCATAACTTTTCTCTGGAATTCGGTATTTTGATTAGGTATAAAGCGCGCACTTGACAAATAACTATCGTCGGGATAGTCTTCGGCTGCGAAATCACCACAATCCGACTGGACAATATATGAAACCAAAAGCGCAGCTGTATTTTCATTACATAATAGTTCACCCATTGCAAGATCACGTTTAATTTGTAGGGCAAATAAATACCTGAAAGTAAGATGAAAATTATATCCAATTTTTCCTTGAAAAGTTTTTGTATGAACTAACATTACATGAATAAAAGGTTACATTTATAACTGTGAAAGTAAAAAAAAAAAAGTAGAAATTTAGGCGTTTATGAGCTTTTGTAGAATAAATAATAAACGGTAATCTGAAGCAACCAGTATATAATGTATAATGCAACAATACGAGAAGAAAGCAAAAATGAAAAAGGAAGATGAAGAGTTGAAATAGTAAAAAGTGTAAAAAGTGAAGAACGCATTATCATATCAGTTTATCAATAAACAAAAAAAAAAAATGGTTTTGGTGAAATGAACTTCAGTAATATATTCAATAAAACCTGAATGTAAAAAAAATAAATTGGCACTTTTTTAACACTGAAAAATTTTCATAAAAATCATCAATGAAATTAAAAAAAGAAACCTCGTATATTCTTCAACAAGATCAGCTGGATTTGGTGTGTAAAATTTGACGATAAAATAGAAACGAGCATCGCTATGAGTTGTTGTGATTTGTCGTAAGATAGGTTTATCTTTATCTAACCAACACTAAAAGTTCAATCACAAATACCATGGATAATTTAATAATAATAGATAGGAGAAGGAAAACGAAAAGAAATAGTTTAATTTAAAATCTCAACTTAGCTTAAGTAAACTTTGTTTTAAATTTAATTCAAATAACTCGAAGAAATGAAAGCAAATGAAATCAAACATACACGATTGCCATAGCAGTCGGTAAATTCAAGACCGAAATAATCACATTCGAGTAGATTCAAATGACGACATACTTCATCGAATAATGCCTGTCCAAGTGCTTTATGCTGCAGCATTAGTTTATTTCAGTGTATTTCGTTTCAAATTAATTTTATTTAGTATAATGCAGTTTAAATCTAAACGGAGACATTATCATTTTGCTGATTAAATGAAACTAACTAACCTTACTTTCGCTTTCATAACAAATTTCCGTAATTTATTTAATTTAATTTTTTTTCGGCAACATAATTTCATTCAGTTTAAATTTAAAAACCAATAAATAACGATGCTATCTTATGTTTACACAAGTTAATTTAAATGGGAAGCAGTATCCTTACCCCTAAATGAAATACACCAACAGAATCATCAAGCATTCGAACTTTGATACACATCAATTTTCCACGACGATGATCCATTCCAGGTGGCGGGGGAGCACCAACTCCTTTTGGTATCATTCCACTTCCCGGTCCACCCATATTTGATCTGCAACGTCTAGACTTAAACTGAATTCAAATTCAAATTTATTAAATTTATTTATCCCTAATTAAATATTTTCTTAGTTTAAACACACTACTCACCTGAAATACATTGTAATTGAATTTTATGAAAAAAACAGAAATTCAATAATATTTCAAAATGCAATTTAAAGAAAGACAGGATATGGAGAAAGTAAGTTAAGGGTGAACGAGAAAGCACTACTATTCAATTATATTCAGGTCACGAGGTCAAGATAAATTCTTGTCTGGTAATTTATTGTGAAAGAAAATAAATATCATCACGCGGTTACTTTAACTGAACTTCTTATTTGACTTCTTTTTTATTATCTGTTCCTGTTTTGGATGGTTATTTATTGTTTTTATTGTTTGATCCTGTGTTTAATACTTCATTTTATGATACTAAAAATGGTGATAATCCTTTATTGTATTTAATTTTTGATCATCCAAAGGTGTATGCAATTATTCTATTTGTTTTTGGTGAAAAAAAGTTATAATTTTTTAGTCTTACCTTTCAGTATATTTATTTGTTTAAATTTATTTTTACTTATAACTTTAATGTGTCTTGATTAATGAAAGTTTTACATCATTGCCAATTGAAGCGCATCTTTTACATCTGGCGCAAAAAAAAAAAAAAAAAAAAAAAAACGAATAATATAGAAAGATGGAATATCAAAAGCGCACGTAAAGAAAATGGCATAAAAATGCTCAAAATTCGTATCAAATATTTTGGTTATTAGCTTTAGAAAGTCAAGTATAATAAATTAACAATTCATTTGTTTCCCTTCTTCATGGATTTCAAATTTCAAAGTCAAATTTCTATATGACAAAGGAAACAGAAATTTTTGCTAGAAATATAAAGCTTTCGAAAAAAAAAAATGTCTAACTTCTTTTAAAAAATGTGACTTAATCAAATATTGCAATTTGCACTTTTGGGGATTTTAAGAAATCTCAAGGGGTGAAAAATCTTTTGCCGCATATTAATTAGAGAAATATAATCCAAACTTCGTCGTTTGTCATTGCACATCAGAGAATTCAAATTGACAAGTAAAAAATTAAATGTGAAAAAAATGATAGAATTTTCATAGAATAACAAAAATAATTTGAATACACATTTTTCGAAAGAAAAATAAAAATAAAGAAGAAAACAAAAAAATAATTCGAAGTTTTTGCTAGGATTAAGTAAGGACATTTAAGCTCAAATGACTTTTTTTAAATGCTATTCAAATAAAATATATTCTTGAATTTAAGAAAGATACTTTAATTAAGTGATATTCCAAGTGAAATTCAGTATTTGTTTCTCTATCAGTGTTTGATGTTATCAGTATCATATTTATTTTGATAAGTAGAAAGTAGCTTTTTTTTTTTTTTTTTTTAATAATCACTCACTATGCAGCTAAACCTTTCCATCACTTTTTTTTTTTTTAAATATGACACGCTTCTGCGTCAATTTTCACTTTTTTTTTTAAATGAGAACAATATATTCACATTTTAAAAGATAAAATTTCCTACTTTCAACAATTTCAAAATTTACAAAATTAATGGCTTAAAAAAATTAAACTTATTTAAAGCCTTATTGTAATAAAGTTCTCTAGCAAGAAATATAATAAGATCAAGATTTAATCTGAATCTTTGACCTCAATTTGGTGCAATAATCCAAAAACTTTCAGTTAGATTGTTAGAAAGAGATACTATTAAAGTAAAAACAAAAAACACTAACAGTAAATAAATAAGAAAGTAAAAGTCTACCAAAGTGGAACAATAAATAAGAATGTAGTCTTTGATATTAACAAAGTGACACACAGAGAGAGAGAGAGAGAGAGAGAGAGCAAGAGAACGGATATTTTCCAGATCTTTTAAATGATAACTAAACTTAGAATGAAAATTTTAAAAAGAAAAAAAAAAACAGGACGATAAGATACAAGCGATTTTCCTATCAATGCTAATCAAATCGAAAATATTCTAGATAAGAAAATTGGAAAGATGAACTAACAGCTGCTAACATCAGGTTTGCCCACTCTCGAATATCATCTTATCATCAACATCCACACTATCGAGTTTGTCAGTGATATGGAACCAGCCGAAATAACATCGAGCTGAGAATGAATGTACCTCTTCAATTTACGAAATGCTTTCAAAATTATTATCACACAGCCAATTCCTCTACCATTTTCTCTCTCTCTCTCTCCCTCCTTTCCTCTCTCTCTCTCTCTCATTTACTTTTCACCATTCTTTTACTTATATTTCTTGCTCAATTTCATTTCTTGAACTTCTTACATCAAATTGAAAACTCAAGCTAGTCTCCCTGGTGGGATCACTTTACAGCAGTAAACAATTGACACCACTGCTAGCATCATTATTTAGTTTTAAAGTGCCCGATAAAACAATATAGGCTATTTATTATTTAACCGCGCCTCAAAATTTAATGATATCAATAACCACAAAAAACAAACAAACAAATTATATAAATGACTAATTTTTATCCATTTTATTTTAAATTTATATTTGATTCTTCTTCAGAGAGACAGAAAAAAAAAAAAAAAAAAAGTGATTGAAAGTACAACAATGCACGAAGATGAAAAGCGGAAAAAAACTGTACCGTATTTGACGAGGCGCAACTCGTCGTAAACTCATATTGTGGTTGTAACATCTGTTCCAGTCTTTTTCATTCCTGCAAAAAATATGTATATATTACTACTTTTGTGGATAATCAAAGAATGAGCGAAACCGGTTATGTTGTTAACATCATTTGATAACAAATTATTATTTATTTCTAACTCCTTATCATCACTACTATTTTATTATCAATACCTTTCATTCTGTAAAAAATTTATCACTCTATTAAACTTTCGTACCTGTATAATATGTGGAATTTAACAGAACAGAAGTAGTGTTAATAAAATGATAATAAGTAAGTAAAGAGTAAAAACAAGTAGTGATAAGGAAATGTAATTATATAACTTCTTTCTTTCCTTTTTTTTAAAGTATGAAGCTTAAGCAGAAAGATTCGAAAAAAAAAAAAAATCTCAGCGCGAATAGCTATAACAAGAAACTTGAAGTACCATAAATAATCCTTTTTATTCTTCTCTTTCCTTCCTGTCCCTTTCTTTTTTTACTATCTCTCTCTTTTACTCTCTTGTTATTCAATACTCCCATTTGATAATCTTATTGACTTTCAAATTAAGAGAAAGTGAACAAAGGGAGAGAGAGAGACTTTATCAAACGATGATAACAATGATAACATATTATCTTAAGATAGAAGTTTTAAAAATCTCATAAAAAATTATCGGTGATAAAAAAGATTACTTTATATTATTATTATTCAGTCTATCATTTATCAAAAATTAATTTATTATCGGGATAAATTCTAACGGATATGTCCAAATACCTCATTAATCTTGTTGAAGGGTAAATAGATGCTCGTATGGTTGTGTGATAACAACAGTTATAATAATGATAATCAGTAACAATCCATTCTACTTATTAAAACGATAAAAGATTTTAATGAAAAAAAAAAAAAAAAAAATTGGAAACTATGATTAAAACATAGATAGAGTAAAAACTAAAACTAAAATATAAAGTTTATCATATCAGACTAATAAGGTATTTTTGTTATATTAGCAATATTATATGGGAAGAAGTTATTTCAGCATATGCGATCATAAATTTAATTCATAATTGATGTTTGCAAGTGATTTTTTAAATTTTGAAAAAAAATGCTACAGTAGAGCTAAACTGAGTGGAAATTTTAACTACAGCTATTTATGGCGCTGTTGTGATGATTGATGCGCAAATTGGTTAATTTTCAATTTAATGGTTGCAAAATAAATTTCATTCGCACTGATGAAGATTGCTTTCCAGTGCATATTCGGCAAATATCATAAATAAGCTTTAATTTCTGATCCGAAGATGAAAAAAAAAGTTCATCACAACTCAATAAGACAATTACCCGCTGAGTGGGAGATATTTAGTGGTAAATAAGGATGATAAGGAGGAAGTAAGAAACACTTAGAAAGTACTACAAAAGTAAGTAAAGAGAAGTGGAGAAGAAGAAAAGAAGAAAAATGAAGAAAGGAGAAGGGAAAGAAAGATTTGTTGTCAGGTAATTTACAGGTGAGCGATCTGTCACCGATTGATGATGACCTTGGACATAAGGTATGAGTAGTTTAATGTCAGTTAATAGCATTTCTTCCCGTTTTTTTTTTTTTTTCTTTTTTGTTCTTATCATGCAACAGTTTTAATTAGATTTTCTTTTTTTAATTTATTTTGGCGACTTTTTTTTCAGAGTAAAATAACCATTTCCATTAATTTGTTTTTTTCTGATGAAACACTTTTGAGTTGATCACTTCTTTTTAATGATTTTCTGTTGAAATAAATAGCTTTTTTTTTTTTTCTTCAATGTTCAAATTAGAAGGGAAAAAAGATAAGCAAGCATACATGACGAAGATAAAATGTGTAGCAAAATTTCATTGCTTAAAAAAATTCCAATAATCTAACTAATTACTCTCTGTGGTCATTTCGAAGTAATTCATAAAATTGTAAATTTAAGTAAAATTTAAGTCCAAAACTTAAATTTACCTAACATTGCATTCATTCCATTAATTAGTCATTTAAATTTATTTAACGCTGCATTCATTTATTCATACATTCATTCAATCGGTCATCTGAAGTTTGAACTTCAAACGAATGCACACAGAAATCGATTAATTTATAGATATCAAATATCTCATTTTGTTTTCCATAGTCAAATATTTCAATAATTAAAAATGTTTAAATTTAAAATATCTGGGCAGGTTTTTTTTTCTCTTAAAAACAATTAGTCAAATTGAAAAATGTACAGCTGTGTGGAACAAATGATTTCTTATCCAATAAGTTGGTAAATTATATGTCGCTAAGCTGGTAGGAAATGTAAAATTTTTATTGTTTCAAAATTTCTTTTTAATGATGGTGCATAAATTTTAGAAGGAAAAGAACTAAGAAACTATTTTAAGAATGAAAGTTAAGTTCAAAAATCAAATTAACATTGAATTTTTCTATTTGGATGAAATGAAAAATTCAATTAAATTAGCAATTGTAAATGAGTGGAAGAAAATAGGAGAACGAAAGAAAAACGTAAAAGAATGGAAGAAATTTCAGGAGTGAAGATAATTACAAAGAAAAACAAACAGATATTTCAAATGATGAGATATGAGAAATTCTAAAATGATGATTGAAATGCTTCAGTTTTTCAAGAAAGACTTGGATAATATTTAATTACTTAGGAATCGATCATTTAAATTTAGTAAAAAGTAGAAGCAGCAAGTTATTGATGATCATTTTCTTTTTTTTTTGCATTTGTTTATAGTCAAAGCATTTCTTTATGGCCAAAAAATAAAACCCAATATTTGCAGCACTTTTTTTTTTTCTTCATTTTGGAGATCAAATGATACCGAAAAGATTAGTAGTTGAAAAATGAGAAATTTTAATACTTATCAGATTTAAATTTAGAGGGGAATAAATGCAAATCGGGATGAGGTTTGGAATACTATCGCTTCAAATTTATGGTATTAAATTTCTTTTTGACTGAAGACATAATTTCATGCTTTAAAAGTAATAGTTCAATTCGGTGTAATAGGGAAACGGAAGGAAGAAAAGGGGACAAAATGATCGAGTTGCTGTAATTACATTTGAATTCTTAGATATTACTTAAATATTTTTACATGTTGTGATTGATGTTGAAATATAGCACAAGTATTTCCCTAATTTGTAATCAAAACCATTTAAATTGATAACTTACTTAAACTTACTTAATATTTATTTGCAGTTAAAATCGCTTCGTTTTGTCATAGTTAACATAAATCAACAATGATCAATGCAATTCATTCATGCTAGCAAAGATATAAGATCGACACAACAAATGTTTACATAACGAAAATAAAGCTTAACAAATAAAAAGTAAAAAAAAAAAAACTATCGATTAATTGAATAAATTCTTAAATCTCACTGGAAATTACTAGATAAGATTATCCTATGTTCAAGAACTTCAGTTCCTCTAAATTTAGTTCGTTTAAAGTATCGTTGAGGGTAAAAAAGAAAAAGTGAAGAGATTATTATTCAAAATTGAATTAATTCCGATATACATAATCTAGTTAAAAGCATTTTCCCGAAAGTAATTAATCAATAAGACTAATTAAAGTTGATAAATTTCAGACATAAGATTCAAACAGTTTTAACAACATCTTCATGCTAACGTATCATTTCGGGATCACATAGCACATTTATCAAATAAGCGGTACTGTCTCTAACAATTATTAAATAATTCTCAGTACATAAATATTTTCTTTTTTTTTTTCATCGATTACATTGTAGATCTTGTGAAAGAATGAAATTTAAAGATAAATAATTGAAAATTTATGTAGTTATCATTTTGCTAATTTCAATTTATGATCTTTAGAAGATGGCGCTCATTATAGTTACATTCGGAAATTTATTCGTTCAATAATTGCGCAGAAATTTTTCCAACAAGAATTCCCAAGATCTAAGCTAGAAAAGTAAATTGAATTTAGCTGAAGGAAGGGAAAGTTGATGCTTGACCAATGTAGGGAATATGTCTTGCAATGAACATGTCAGAAAAAAATTTCAAAATAAATTAACATTTTAAAGAAAAAAAAAAAATGACAGACCAAAAATTTTGAAAGACAACTAGTAAAAATTACATTTAAAGAAAATTCTGTAATCTATTTTAGCATATGAAAAATCTTAAAACTTATTCTTATTTCAAATTTATTCAATCAATGAATGGGAAAAATAAATGGTATTTGTTATGAAAAGACGTAAATTTGTAAGCATTTGTAAGCATCATGAAAACCATTTCAGTTTATTTCAATATAATTAGCATGCAGCAGGACAATCCCAAGTGGTGCAATTAGCGCATGTTGAAGAAAATGCTAAGTAACATGATCAACTCTATAGATTTTATTTTAATAAAAACTTTTAAGAAAAATTTATCGAATATAAAAAGGCATATTTGAATGATTTGAGAGAAAATTCCCTCTAGAAATATTCAAAAGAAAAGAAAAAAAGAGCTAAAAAACGGATACCACAAGAAAAGAATTAAAGTGAAAAAAAAAATGCAAAAAAACTTCATTATTAAAAATTTAAAATAAGATTAAAAAGTTAAAAAATGCTGGTATGGAAAATATAAAATGTCATATAAAAATAAAAATCGATCAGTCTCGAAATTAATAACAGACTGTCACTAATAAAGCCACTGCTGTAGTCAACTGAAACAATTAGTCCTAAAATTTTAATTAAGATCGAGAAGTATTTTAGACAGATATAACTGCATGCGATATTATTAGCACATGTCACATCAATTAGTTGTAACCATCAGTTCTTTGGGGAATTTCATGAAACACTCATAAAACTTTGGATGATTTCAGCTAAAATATAAAATCAATAACAATTACTGATGTATGATCATTTGTCGAAAATTTGTGATTCAAAAGTAAATTCTATTTGGCCACGATTACTTGATCTTATCAATAATTTAAACTGTTCAGGCATTCAAGATTTGCATTATATTTTAAGTTGACATTTTAGTACCCTGCAAATGGAATTCTGCAAATGTCTTTTGTGCTACTTTTAGAAAAAAT